CTAACTACCACCTTTGCCTAATATTTGTTCTGAATACAAAAATGATAGAAAATAAATACAACTAGCACAAGAAATAAATAGGAAGGACTTCATAATCGAAAAAAAAAAAAAAAAACCACTTAGCTCATTAAAATAAAATAAAAAAAAGCCTTTGGAGACCTCTTGTGGTTAAAGTTAAGAATAAAAAGTTAAAATTTTTAAAAACTGTTTTGAAAACTACTACATTAGAATCTTCTGTAATTCCAACTGAGTTTTGCATTTTCTCACATAGTATTAATACAGAATGTCTTCAATGTTAATAAAATGCCCACCAGTATCTGACCAAAAACAAGGGCTTTCATCTTCCAGTTGTGCAGAATAAGATAGGGGTATAGAGAGACTGACAGGTGGCACCATCAAATTCACAATAAAACTCGATGTTAACTGTTGCCTGAGAGCAAACTAGGAACAGAAGCCTGGTAAACCGCTCTTCAAACCTATGTTCCCTGCTAAGTCTCTTTCTTTTACACTTGCCTGGGTGGCACGGATGGCTAGGAGTAAACAAAGTGCCCATCACAGGAGTTAATATTGAAAGGATGAAAATACAGCCTAACTCTCTAATGACCACTAAAAGTTAGAAATTTAAAAATAGCCACCAGCATGGATTTAAAAATCACCCTAGCTACATGCAAAGCTCAGGAAAAAGAAAACACATGAAATAGGTTGGTCATGATGACTGGTTTCTGGAAATTTTTATTATTATTATTCATAACCACCTAGTTTCTGAGGAATGTTGTTATTCTCAACAACAGTCTTGGAATTGTTATGGGTCATCCTGTCTACAAAGAAAATTAATAACTAAAAGAGATGGGATTCATGGCAAGAAGGGAAAACTAGAAAGAGCAAGTGCTTCTGCCAATAGATATAGATAACTCCCTGACAGGAGAGTACATTCTCCCTGCTCCCATTATCTTAAGGGCAAGGCCACTGAGCCCGCTGGTCCTAGAGAAAGAAAACCCCCTAACCTTGCAGGTGCGCTAAACAATCCTGCCTTGTAAAAACTATGAAATCTCTGTAACCTAGGAAACCTTATCAACCACCCAAGTTTTAAACTGGCCCATGACCTTGCTTTTAGGCCTAGTGAAAGTAACAGGCTAGCTTTGAAACTGGCCTTGTTAGCTTTGATGTAAATCCTATAAAAGCTGTCTCAATTCTGCCCTCGAGGTCCTCAGTCCTCTACCCCTGCGTGGTGTATGACTGTGGACCCCAGTGCACTTGGAATAAAAATCCCTCATGCTATTATTTGCATCGAGACCGCTTCTCGTGAGTGATTTGGGGTGTCACCTTTCCTGAGTGGGAGCGTGAAGGTCTTTCAAAATCAACTCAGTAAAGGCTCATGAACTTTGTAGACATTAACATGGAGCCACTATCTCTAATTTAAAAATGAGGGTAGGAATTCACCTCATGCAGTGAAATAAGGAAAAAAAAAAATTGAACACTACAAATAAAATTAAGAAAAAAATAATTTGGGGGCATGGATGAAAGTAAAGGTAAAGTGCTTTCAAAGCAGGAAAAGATCTTCTGAAGAATGAAAAGAACAGAATGTCACCAGACGCCAGGGACTTAGACTACTAAAAGCAAGTAGAAATAGTCAATTCAGGTGTTTTCTAAAATGAGTTTACTTTCCTGCCAGGCGCTTGACAAGCCAAGCCCCACCAGTCCAGCCCTGTCTCTCTGGGGTTCCCGTGTACACACATGTAGCATGAGGGGCTCTGTTAGGGTCTGTTAGGATCATCCTTCCCACACACAGCTTCCCACGTGGGTGCTCAAGAGCTGAACCAAGATCCTCATGTACAAGCATATGCAACAGCAGTCATTTTACCCACTGAGCCTTTTCCTCTGCCCTGAATCAAAATATAAGAGGCTTTTTTGGTTTTGTTTTTATTTTTGTTTTTTTCTTCTCTTTTTTCTTGGCTTTTCAAGACAGAGTTTCTCTGTATTGCTTTGGAGCCTGTGCTGGAACTTGCTCTGTAGACCAGGCTGGCCTTGAACTCACAGAAATCCGCCTGCCTCTGACTCCTGAGTGCTGGGATTAATGGCTTGCACCACCAACACCCAGCTTCAAAATATAAGTTTTAAATGTTTTAAAGGAGTCATAAGATTTTTTTTATTATTATTTTGAAAAACAAAAAAACAAGGGTCAAAACCAACAAAAGAAATGTAACAATGATAGGGAAATCATACCCTAACAGAGGTAAAAAGACAACAATAAGAAGGGACAATGGACTCTAACAGACATTTCAGAAGAGACTGAGAGCCAGATGTGCTGCAGCGGCAACCCCAGCATCCAGGAGAGGAGGCAGGAGGGTCAGGAGTCCAGGGCAATCCTCAGATACCCAGGGAGGGAGGCTAGCCTGGGCCACAGGAGAACCTGACTGAAAAAGGAGAATAGTATACACATGTATCCTGCAGCTCTCCCTGCCCCAACAAGCCAAAAATAAGTAGGGAGAGGCAATATTAAAAGAGAAAATGGTCTCCAGCTTTTGACTACTTGGGTGGTGCTGTTTGGGGGGCTCAGGAAGTGAGGCCTTTCTGGAGGAGGTGTGTCACTGGGGGAGGGCACTGATGGGTAAAATCCTTGGTTCTGGTTCACTCTGTTTTGTGCTTTGTGGTTCAGAGTGTGGGACCTTAGCTCCATGTTCCTGCCTCCTGCTGCTTTCCCTCTGCCTACCATCAAGGACTCCAACCCTCTGGAACCAATGAGCTCAAACAAACCCTTCCTTGTATAAAGTACCTTGAACATACCAACACAAAAGTAACTCAGACAATTATTTTCCACTTATTCTTAGCCAGGCCCTTTACCAGGCACTCTATCCAAATTATCTTTACAACTAACTCTTGCAGTGACTACTCGTATTACCCCTGTCTTTTAGATAGAACAGAGGAAGACAAGATAGTTGAGTCATTTACCCAACCACTAAAGCGAAGAGACTGATTTCCAAAAAAAACCTACTATAAGAGCCTAAGACATCAGAAAATCCACCACCTCCTTCTCCATAGACATATACTTAGCTACAGATACTCATAAAAAATAGATGTTTAACTCTCAACTCTTCATAAGCACAAGGTGCAAAAAGAAAATACACTAAGAATGAACACTTACAGGTGGTCAGGAAGTACTGGCAGAATTACAAACTTGCAATGCTAACCAGAGAAATACAGTAAAATGACCTGAGATCATTAGATCCCTAAATCCCCATGATGTCTCATCATGCCAAATTCAGGCTCCAAAACCTCCCTGGACAAGTGAACACCAAGGAACACCATCAGGTAAAGCTCCTTGCCAGATAAACCCATTCTGGCATCTTCTGCTACTGCACAGGTTTTGGCATTTTATTGACTTTTGCCTTTACTGAATTTTATAAAAAGTGGAAAATGGAAAACATGATGATTAAAATGACTAAATTCCAGATTAATCTAAATTAATCAAACATATACTTAGTTATGAAGAAAATGAACAAAATCAAAGGCACAGATACTGTAAATGTGCTTACATCTAGAAGTACCTCTTCAAAGGTTTCTGAGGGTGCATTCACACTTAGTTCTTCAGGGTCAGTGCCCCTCAAGAATGGGCTGATTGACTTTTAACTGGTCAAGTTTAAACACAGAGGAAAACTAAGAATAAAGGGATTTGGTCCAGGATTCTCTACCTATAATATAATAAAGTTTATTTAAACAGTCATTGTAAATACCCGGAGTTCCCAGAGTCCTTGGGCCAGCATCCAAAATCATTATAAATGTATAATTCTGACTTAGAAATTCTACCCTCGGGAGAGAATTTAAAACGCATGCAAAAGTCTCCGTAGATGTTACTGCAACACCTGCAGAGCAGGAAATACTACAAAAGGCAAATGGACAGATCTCATCCACTTGTACAACGGATGTCATACGGCATCTTGACTGTGAAGTGTTTAGAGAAATATCAGCAGACAAATGATGTTTGCTAAGATCTGATTCTACACAAGCAAACCAGAGAGAGAAGGGTGAGAGAAATGAGGCTGGCTCTGAGCCCGAGCACGCTGACACTGGCTGATGTACTCCTGGCACCTCACCACACTACTCCGAGTAATTCTGCATCTGCACCTTCCCACAAGAAAATGGGATTTTAAGAAAAGAAAAAAAAAAGGGAGGGTACAAAACTATATTTGCTACATGAACACAAGTCTATAAAAAAAATACACACACACACACACACACACACACAAAACACCAAAGTACAGTTCTTTCTGTATTTGTGGAACTGGGTTTATATTTTCTTTCTTTCTTTTTGTAACTCTTAGTTACAAAGTATTTAGAGATTATCACCAGAAAAACAAACTGTAAAAGCTACTTTGACCAAAAAAAAAAAAAAAAAAAAAAAAAGAACACTCCAAAGACAAAGACAAATGTGTCCTCGCTTTAAATCAGTTTGATTTTCTCACTGACTTGTCAACCCACTAGCTGTAAACCTGCCAGTCACTCCTTCATGCCAGCCCTCTCCACTCCTGCACAGCCCAAGCCTCAGCCTCGCTGCCCTTTCCAGCCACACTTGCACAAAGGCACCTTCCTGGAGGGTACTTAACACCGCGTGCCCTGAGAATCCAGCCAGGCATGTGTATGGTCTCACACATCTGTCTTGCCCTCTGCTTGCTACATACCCATACCTTGCCTCACAGTGAGTGTTGTGAAAAATCCTAGTAAATAAAACTACTGGGCACAACCCTGAAGAGAAGCATGCAGGACAGGAATTATGGAGCCATTTAAAGAAATAAGTTCTAAATTACCTCTAGAATGTATGCATAAATCATCAAACAATATCATCAAATAATGACAAATCTCTTCAAAATGACTGTCATCTATAACACTATACATTTTTTCCTTTTAAAAACTCTATTACTGGGATATAATTGCTGGAAGTAATTTCTGTAAGAACAAGTACAGGCTTGGGAGCTAACTCTAGTTTGAGGACGGCCATGACTCACCTGACAGCAGTGGCTCTGTGGATGAGCATTTCCGTCAGCTCCGACATGTGTGAGGGAAGCAGCAGTTCCAGGGGCTGCAGGCTCGATATGCGAGTCTCCAGCTCCAGTCTGGAAGCCGAGTCCTGGAAGCAGTCATACACAACCTCGCCCGTGGCAGGCTGCACTCCCTGGAGGCAAAGATAAACACGATAGCACAGAACACACACTGTCCCAGCTGCGCTGACACATGCCAGGCACCGTTCTAGTAGCGACACCCGCCCACATGTGCTGTTGCTAACCTGAGAATCAGTCGACCTTTTAAGACTCTAACCTAAGTTAGCTCCACAGGCATCTGAAACAGGCTGAGCTGGTGGTGCCACAGGTAAAGCGTTTGCACTGAGCCTGAGGGCCTGAGTTTGAGCTCCACAGGGTTCACACGGTGAAAAGAGAGAAGGTACTCCCAAAGTTGTCCTCTGACCTCCACTTGTTTGCCATGTGCACATGCACACACACACACACACACAGACCATGCAATGGCTTAAATGGTAGTCTCAGGAGACATGTTGAGTACAGCTTGGGACCTGATGTACCTAACAGAATGCTATGACAACTCACTAAGCTCTGCTGGACATCAGCTTCCTCTTCTACACATGGAAATCCTTATCAACTTCCATCAGGTTGTTACAAGGATTAAATCAGACTAATATGTGAAAGCTCTGGCAGCTTCGCCCAGTACAGAGAGCAAGGTACCATGACAAAGTGCCAGTGGACTCACCTGATCGCACAGAAGTAACCGTCTCGTTCTTACTCAATAAAAAACAGACATAACAAACGGTGAGACCAAACCAGTATTCAGTAAAAGAGCCATCACCTGCCAGCCCAGCATAGGAACAGCCCAGCCCTCAGGAGGAAAACCTGAGGGGGCCAAGGTTTGGAAGAGGTGCAGAAGGCGATGAAGTTACTTCACCAAGGCCTCCCAGCAATGAACCGATGGAGCCGAGATTCAAACCTGAGCAGTCAGATCCTCAGCCTGCTCTCCCTCTAAACACTTATGCTTCAGAGATGAACAGGTACTGACAGTTTGGACTAATGAAAAGCCAGAAGTATGGCAAATCCTTATACTGTTGATGCACTCAACTGACAGTCACTTACAAGATGCAGGCCCTGTCGAGGGACGGAGAACATACCTGGGGAGGAGTAATTCCTCCCCAGGCATACACTCATGAGAACTCGGTATGATAGATACATTCTTTACAGAGCCAAAGACTACTGAGACCCCCGTGTGTCCAGCAACAGAGGGATGAGTACATGAAATCCAAAAGAGCAGTGCAATCAAAGATCCGCAGCACATACATAAACGTCAACTCAGGAAAGCCAGACGGCCCAGCAGATAACTGAATACTTCATAATGTCTTTAAATCCTTCATCTCTAGCCAGAGAATGCCTTCAAGTCCAGCCCAGAAGTATCCTCTACTGTCTACGGCTATGGTACCAGCTACATTAGGTTTACCTACTTAAGTCCATGTCCCAATCCACAAACCAAGCATTTACATAAGAGGATCACAGTTAGCAGCCAGCCAAAGTCTCAGTTGCTTTAATCAAAAACCTCATCTGATGGATACCTGCACTGAGTACTACTCCAAGAGACATTAAGAAATCTACAGCCCAGCATGGTGTTGGTGGTGAATGCCTTTAATCCCAGCACTCGGGAGGCAGAGGCAGCTGAACTCTGAGTTCAAGGCCAGCTTGGTCTACAGAGCTAGTTCCAGGACAGCCTCCAAAGCAATACAGAGAAACCTTGTCTAGAAAAACAAACAAACAAAAAGAAATCTACAGTCCAAACAAAACTGCATGGCCAAAATGAAGGTGGAAGGTTTGCTTCCAGCCGTTCTTGACAGCAGGGCTGTCAACCAGCACCCAGATGGTGACTGGGAAGTGTAAGGTACAGATCCCAGTAGGGGAGATACCCAGGGAAAACCAGCGCTAAGAGTGGAGGGAAATGAGCTCCATCAGGCCACACTGAGTCTGAGGGACTGGAGCACACTCCAAGTGGCCTTGTGCAAACCTGGAGGGTTCCAGAACCCTAGTGAAAAGTGCAGCCTTGGCCTAGAGCTCAGGGTGCCATCAGCCAGAAAAAGCGACCACTGAGGTCAAGGACGAAAACCAAAAAACACTTAGGGTCATGGATCACTGTTCATCTTTTCATATCCCTGCTCATCTGTTACAGTCAGCTTTGGCAGAGGTAGGATGCTATTCTAAATGCCCCAAGTGCCTGTGTGCTAGAATGTGCTATCAACTCTGTTCTTTAGTCTGAGCTCCAGGTAAATATGCAATAGCACACTACATATGCTAAAGCTGAAAAACAAATAACCTTACTATTTGTAGATGGGACCAACTGTCTATGACTAGATAAAAAGTGCTTCTCGGGAGGGAAAAATTCATTTGAGCCTCCCCAACACACACAGTACTGCTAACTCCCTGAGAGAGGGGCTTACTAGCTAAGCAAATGTCAAGGTAGCAAAGTTATGCAGAATGAATAATGTATTAAAAGGTACACTGAAGACATTTGAGCTTGAGGAATTTCTGTTAATGCTGGCCAATGACTGTAGACATTAGGAAAAAGAGTGATGATTATAAGTGAGTCTAATAGTCCTGAGGGGCACACTCAAAGGAGATCTGTAAGAGAATAAATTTGCTCATGAGTGGCAGAAGGAACAATCAGTAAAACTATAGCTCCTGAATCACATTTATCTGGAAGACAGAGTATATTAATTTATACTGTACTATATATATAAAGTAAACTACCTTGCATTTCTCTTTAACTCTCCTTTCCTCCAAATCTAATTAGGGTACTTCCATTGTAACTCCTGTTAGATTGCACACCAAAGATGAAACTCAGTTAACCATGCACCTGCTTGGCGTAGTATTTTATGGTGCCATCAGCTCCCTGCCCACATGCACGCCTGTCATTGACACCATTTTCAACTCTTAATGAAGTATATGGTCCAAAACTATCTGGATCTTTGCAGACAGAGTGCCAAGTAACCAGAAAAAAACCATGTCACTTGATGGGTAATGTTGTGAAAAAAAGGTTTTTCTAGCAAACTATCTGAAAGCACATTTCAGAATCCTCATCATGCACCACTCAGGACCACTCTCAGGAGGTACCACAAACACCCAACATGCACCACTCAGGACCAGGAGGGTACCACAAACACCCATCATGCACCACTCAGGACCACTCACAGGAGGTACCACAAACACCCATCATGCACCACTCAGGACCACTCACAGGAGGTACCACAAACACCCATCATGCACCACTCAGGACCACTCACAGGAGGTACCACAAACACCCATCATGCACCACTCAGGACCACTCACAGGAGGTACCACGAACACCTATCATTTATTCCTCACCTTTACAGAACTTACCACAATACCAATGGAAATGTTCCCCTTCTTTTTGTCCTTAATATTTTCTTTCTCTTCATAGATACACAGAAGATAGCTGGTAGAAGTATCTGTCATTACCTCATCAATATTTACAGAATCATCCAGCCTGATTAGAGGATTCACATGTAATAATGTTAAAGAAAACCACATGCTTAATCCCTACGAACTGAGAAAGGTTTGTTTTTCTTATGCAGCCCTCTTCCCATCACGATCATAGTTAAATAGCATCCCTTCCCTGAACTACGAGAGGCACAAGAACAGGCGACTCTATCTTCTCCCTTGCAAAGGGCCTAGCGGTGTGTCTACAACCCTGGAAGTCCAAACGTGATCCCACTTTGCTGAGACGTGACTCCTCGGCAATCGTATAATGAATTCTACCAAGCAAAGCAAACTGTCACAAGTGAATCCCCATCTCTAAAGTGCCTAAAACTCTAGACATATTTTAAATAAACAGAAACATTTTTACATATAGGAGTATATATGCACACGCATGTACAAAATGAACCCCATTAATCAAAGTTCTCAAGAGTAAAAGCTGATTCTAGACAAAGTTATCCTGGCACATCTCACATGGTTACCAGAGGTAAGAGACTTGATGGCAACTGAAGCAAAGCAGAGCAGGGGACTGTTTTGGGGAAAGGTTTCAAAAAAAATCAGAATTCCAAGTTCTTACTGTTTGATCAGCTTAGAACAACAGGGCTCCTCCAAAGGGGTCAAGACCAGGCTGGAGAAACCCACAGAAACATCTGATATGAACAAGGGGAGCTCGTGGACTCAGACTGATAGCTGAGAAACCAGCATAGGACCGACCCAGACTCCCTGAATGTGGGTATCAGTTAGGAAGCCTAGGCAACCTATGGGGCCTCTGATAGTGGATCAGTATTTATCCCTAGTATAGGAATGGACTTTGGGAGCCCATTCCACATAGAGGCAGACTCTCTCAGCATAGATAAACAGGGGAGAGCCTAGGCTCTGTTCCAAATGATATGACAGACTCTCTATGGAAGGCCTCACCCTCTCTGGGGAGCAGAAAGGGGATGAGATAGGAGGTTGCTAGGGGGCAAGGGAAGAGTGGAGGGAGAGAGAACTGGGATTGACATGTAAATCAAGCTTGTTTCTAATTTAAATTTTAAAAAAAGAAAAAAAAAAAAAAAAAAAAAAAAAAAAAAAGGACAGGGCTGCTCCAGATGGTCTGCAGTCCATCTCAATGGCAATGGTGACCATTCATTATGATGGTCTTCAGTCCATCTCAATGGTGACCATTCACTATGATGGTCTTCAGTCCATCTCAATGGTGACCGTTCACTATGATGGTCTCACTTAAACAAAAGCATCTCAAAGTTTGTGTAGAAGCTAAGAAGCTTGAAATAGCTTTCTAAGAAACTATAGTAGAGGTTCTAGAAAGATGGCTCAGTGGTTAAGAACTTTCAGAGGATCCAGGATCAATTTCAAACACCCACAAGGTGACTCACAACCATCTGTAACTCCAGTTCAAGGGAATGTGATGCCTTCTTCTTACGTTAGCACCAGGCACACACAGAGTAAACAGACATACATGCCAGCAAAATACCTGTACACATAAAAACAAATCTTTAAACAAAAAGCAACTGAAATACTACTTTCACACATTCAAACTTTCTTATCCTTACATTCTTTTAAGAGACCTAACCTAGAGCTGGAGAGATTGCTCAGTGGTCAAAGCTCTTCTAGAGGACCCATGTTCAATCCCCAGCACCCACATGATCACTCACAATTGCCAGTAATGCCAGTCCCAGAAGATCTAATGCCATTTTATGGCTTCCTTGGGCACCAGGCATGAATCTGGTGCATAGATAAACATGCTGACAAAACACCTATACACATAAAATAAAATAAAGTATTTTCCTAGAGCTGAAAGAAAGGAGCAGTGGACACACACACACTTCCATCCCTAACCTGGAAGCTGTTTCCAAATGATAGCTACCTGCAAATAAAAATTCAGTTTTCTCCAAGGGAATACCTGGACAAATAATCCCCTGCTAAGAGTAGGCTGCATACTCAACAGTAGATGGCCAACACAAAATGAACTCAACCATATCTTGGAAAGTTCTTTGTCTCATAAATGTTAAGTCAGGGCTTTCTTCTTCTTCTTCTTTTTAAATCTTACAAGCCCTTTGAGTATGTATTATAGCTCTTGGTTCTGGGTTTTTTACGTGATTCCTGTATGTATGAATGGTGTTTATTCCTGTGTCTGTATGTGTTTCTTTTTCTTTTTTTTTTTTTTTTTTTTTTTCTTTTGCCTCTTTTTTGTATTTGGTTTGGCCCTATTCCAAATTTTTTGTTGTTTGTTTCACTTTATCATTTGTATTTTATTTTATTATTCCTTAGATGCCTGTTTGCTTTCTAATAGAAACAGAAAGGGTATGGATTCAAATGGGAGGGAACATGGGGAGGAACTGGGAGGAGTGGGGGGGAGGGGAAACTGTAATCAGAACATATTTTATAAAAAAGAAATCTACTTTCAATAAAAGAAAAAAATTGAAGAGAAACTGGACCCACTATCTAAATATTTTTATTTGCATCCTGCTCTTATCTTCTGAATAACTATTTCAATTTTTAAAAAAATGACACATCAAGTATGGTGGTCAGGTAAGTATGATCCCAAGGACCAGAAAGGCTGAAGAAGGAATTCAAGGCCAGCCTGTGCTAACCAGTAAGGCTTGATCTCAAAACAAAAAACTAGGAATTTTATTACTATGCTTTTGAAACTATTTTGGTTCAAGTAACATAAAGGATGTATGAGTGTTGCTAAACCTTGGGATGATCACTGTGCACTGAAATCAACAAGAGAAAATTTCAATCATTTTTCAATAAATTTTTTTATAACGCCAACAATTAAGGAAGATGGCTTCACATTTAACTGTGACTTAATTTTTGTCTTTGAAGTTCTCTTCATGTGAAGTTAATAAGTTATCTTCAGGTCTCACTTTAGCAAGACTCTGAGGAGCTAGAAAGGCCCTAGATAGTTAACACTACATCACAAATGGTCTGAGAAAACATGTCTTTTCAAAGAGTTATTAACCTGAGATGTTTTATTAGGTTCATTTCATTCTTGCTACTAAAGAATGATGAATTCTGCTCTCACTATGATAACAGACACACACTCTATCCAGCCACTACCCACCCTCCCTCAGTGACACACCCATCATGGCTAAAGTGACAGGATGAGAAGTGGCTGGACACCTTACCAAACACATTCAGGAAAAAGAAATAATTGTTTAGTTAAATCTGTCATCTTAAAGTCCCTACAACAAGAAAGAGGAAAACTTCTATCCCAAAAGGATATCTTCTCCAATGAGGGTGGATTTTGTATAAAGAGCAGTCAACTTCCGGGAGAAGACGGAACTTTTATTGTCTCCAATGGCCTTAAGTGCCGCAGTTTCCATTTGTTTCACAACTCCAACCTTCAACAAAAATAAGACACACTTATTGCCAAATCCAGTGAATCGTTGTTCAAAACAGAAAAAGATAAACCATTTCAAAATGTCAGAAAATTAATTCTGAAGTACTGAAAACAGATAGGTCAACCCTTGATGTCCAGATGCAAGGCAGAAAGAAGCCAGGCAACTGGCGAGTGGATAAAGGGCGAAGAAACACTCTGCTGCTGCAGGGGAGGACACTCTAGGCTCACATGGTAGTGCATTCCTTGCAAGCCCAGCCCTCGGGGAGCTGAGGCTCAAAGATTGTGAGTTTATGTGAGTTCAAGTCCATCCTGGGCTTCACAAATCAGACCCTGGCTCAAGAAGCCAAAGCAGAATGAAAAGCAAGATACAATGCTAAGAACTATAACACAATTTAATCTCTCATAGTCCCAAATTCTTATCGACATGCTTTTACATTCTAGAAGAGAGGCCCGATTCCTTTTCCACAAATCAAAGCAAAAGCTGACCTTGTATCCTTTGGCCACAAGTCGCCGGACATGCACAAAGAGTCTGTGAGTGGGTATGCTTGCTGTCATAAAGTTGTGGTCTAAGTGGCAATAAATATTGAGCTCCCGAGCAGCAATCTAGAAAGTGTAGACAGAATGTTAATAAATGTCTACTCAAACCTGTCTAAGGTATCTTCACTCTGTTGACATCAAGCTGCATACATGTACTTAGGATCTGATATTTCTCTAAATACATACATCACTAATAAAATGTTTAAAGGACTTCCCTATACAAAAAAAAAATTATGCTTTCATCTACTTTGGACACCTCAAGTAGGATGAGTTCAAGGCCAACATCTATATCATTAAATTCCAAAAACATGACTCTTCTTCAATGCCCTTAGACATAGACAAATGTTACCAAAACCTTAAAATGTTCAGTCTTTCCTACACTATGAGTGTGAGAATGTAATAAAATATGACATTGTTATGCAAATGGCACACATAAATAATTGACAATTAGAAGACACTAGAGAGCATCAAAAAGGATGAGTCCATTTACACGGAGACTCTGACAAGAGACTCTGGCGCATTAGCTAAGAGGATGTGATTGAGAGAAATGTGAAAGCAGGAAGCAGTAGCTAATTCCTTGCCTCCTTCTAGAAAATACCATAGCTTGGACAGTGCCCACCAGAGCCACACAAGCTTTTTCCAACATTCTCACTACCCAATCTCACCTGTCTCGGAACTGCACTGTTCCATCGTTACTGTCAAGGAAAGATCAGTCTTTACTATAGTCAGATCTGAATTTACCCTTTTACCTAGACAGCCTCTTTCTCTTTCCTCTATACGATGCAACTCTTTGCCTGTTCCTGCTCTCAGAAAACATGCCAGTGTTATGTCAGAGTATAATTTCATAACACAAAATACAGTATAACGTTACTGAAAGAATATCACTTCCCTGCAAAAACAGGCTTTAGAAAAGTGAAAAGGGTTAGTGAAGACTTTGTTTTCCATGCCTCAGGCAATATCAATGTGTACTACCTTATCTCTGTGACATCCTATGACCCAAGGAAGCCTAAAACATAGGCATCATCCATGAGTCCCAACAATGGCAACACCAGCAATACTTCTCCTCAGCGTGGCCATTGCAATGGTTTGAACAAGAAAGACACAGAAATTCTCATGTTTGAGTGCTTGGTCCCTAGTTAGTTTAGAGAGGATTAAGAGAAGTGGCCTTGTAGAAAGAGGTGTGTTGTGTCACTGGGGGTGGGCGCTGAGGTTTGAAATGCTCAAGCCAGGCCCAGTGTCATTCTCTCTTCCTGTGGCCTGAGGATCAGAGTGTAGAACCAACCCTGAGCTGCTCTCCAACACCATGTCTGCCTATGCACTGCCATGCCATGATGATGATGATGATGATGATGGACTAAACCTCTGATCTATAAGCCAGTCCCAATTAGATGTTTTCCTTTTTAAGAGTTGCCATGGACATGGCAATAAATGCTGTTCACAGCAATAAAACCCTAACTAAGACACCTTGGTCATGATGTTGTGTTTCAGCAATAAAAAAGTAACTTAAGACACCCATTAAATATGCATATTTGGTTTTAACCTTCATTGAATCCTATATCAAAAGCCTCTAAATTAAATCAGGACCTAACTTGAAAAACACTGACAAAATGGCTGACACACATAAAGATATTTCAAATACCCATTGATGGTTGGCAGTTAATTTGCTTGCCCATGAGATGGAACCTTCTTCCTATAAAAACTCCTAAATTAAACAGAAGCAGGAAGGTGGTGGCAAACGCCTTTAATCCCAACACTCTGGGAGGCAGACACAAGCCAATCTCTGTGAGTTCAAGTTCAGCTTTGTCTACAGAGCAAGTTCCAGGACAGGCTTCAAAGCCACACAGAGAAACCCTGTCTGGGAAAACCAAAAAAAAAAGAAAAGGAAAAAAAAGTAAACAGAAGACAGAAAACCACCTTCACTTCTCACCCACAAGTCTACCCCACCAAGCTTGGCTGCACTTAGTTTGGTTTTGCCTTTAATAGCATATTTTACATTATTTCTTTCCTTTTATGTGTATAGGTGTTTTGCCTGCATGCACGTCTATATACCACCTGCACCTAGTGCCCACAGGAGCTAGAAAAGGGCATCAGGTCCTCTGGAACTGGAGGTGATGACTACTATGTAAGTGCTGAGAACTCTCAACTGCTAAGCCATCTCTCCAGTCCCAAGTGACAGTATTTCTTAAAGGGTAACTAACCTAATGCCTCTTTCAGAAAACCAGAAAACATGACCTGAAAAATATCTCGGTAGGTAAGAGCACTTGTTTCTAAGCCTGGTGACCTAAATTAAATCCTGGGACCTGCCTTAAGTAGGGTTCCCATTGCTATGAGGAAACACTGACAGAGAGCAAGTTGAAGAGGAAAGAGTTTATTTGCCTTTCATTTCCACGTCACAGCTCATCACTAAACAAAGTTGGGACCGAAACTCAGTCAGGGCAGGAGCTAATGCAGAGGCCATGGGAGGATGCTGCTTCCTGGCTTGCTCATTATGGCTTTCACAATCTGCTTTCTTACAGACCTAGGACCACCAGCTCAGGAAGAGCACCACTCACAATGAGCTGTGTCCCCCCCTTCAATTAAGAATTAATTAAGAAAAAAATTGGGGGGAGGGTTCAAGACAGGGTTTCTCTGTATAGCCCTGGCTGTCCTGGAACATGCTCTATAAACCCAGCTGCCTCAAATTCTGAGGTCTGCCTCTGCCTCTCAAATGCTGGGATTAAAGGCGTGTGCACTATCACCTAGCTAATAATTTCTTAATTAATAAGTTAATTAAGAAAGTGCCCTACAGGCTTGCCTACAGCCTGATCTTATGGAGACATTTTCTCAGTTGAGGCTCCCTCCTCCCCAGTGACTCGAGTTTGTTGAATCGACATGAAACTATCGTAGACACACATGGCAGAAGGAAATCTGACTCCTTCCAGTTGTTCTCTGACCACACACATGCACATAAACACACACAGATAATAAAACATTGTTTTCATATTCTTCTGTTTCAAGCCAGGGTCTCACAATGTAGCACTGGCTGTCCTGGAACTTGCTCTGTATATAGACCAGGCTGGCTTCAAACTCACAGAGATCCGCCTTCCTCTGCCTCCTGAATGCTGGGATTAAAGGCATGTGCCAGCTTTACAACATTTTTTAAGACAGGAAATAAATTATATTAAGAGTCTATGGCTAAACAAGATAAGTATCAGTTAGTACTTGAAAACATAACTTATAAGCAGACCTGGTGGAAGGTGGGAGGAAAGGAGAGAGGGAGGGAAGGAGGAGGGAGCCAGAGATTGAGGAGGGAGGAAGGGAGGGGGGAGGAAGGGAGGGGGGAGGAAGGGAGGGGGGAGGGAGAACTTACCTCTGCATCTTCCCCAAAGAATCTGTACTTGTACCCACATTCTACACACAGGACCGCATCTTTATGCTTCTGCTTCACATCTATGTATTGCAATTCTAATGGTGTATAGACGCTCTTGGATCGTTTATTAAAAGGTTTACAGTCAGAAGCCTTCCGGAAATCTCCGGGGCATGGTCCAAGTTGACTGTCCTGAAAGCCAAAGGATTACACAGTTTAGAAAGCACCAACTGAACTGCTGAGTTCTCAGAGTAAAGGCAAGTTTGACAAAAAGCTAACGGTTGTTGCTCCACACGGAAGGTTTCTAAAGACAGACTGAGGCCAAAACACAGGGGTAAGCAGTGAGGGAGGGGTTAAAAATGAGAATGAAGTATATGACATCATGATGAAAAAGAAAACAATTACTGTGTATGCTAACTTTAAAAATTAAAAAGTCAAAAATAAACTATATAAATAAGCACATTGGAAAGCTTAAATAGTTTAATGTTTTACATGTGTCTCGAATTTTTTTTATTTCACAAGCCTATTAATAGCTGATTATTTATTCCCAGAAGCGTTGGGCAGGAAAGAGCAGAGGGCATGTACCTAGGGCAGGTTCAGAAAACATGCTAACATCTACACCAGATGAAGACGGTAAATTCCAGAGAGACTCAATTCATCTCAATAGTAAAGCTGTGATGGTTGTGATCTTGGAAGCCAGTCAGAGTTTAGAATCAATCACCTGGTAATACAGCTCTGGGAGTGTCTATGAAGGTGCTCTCCTCACCCTTAACTGGGGAAGTGCAGCCGTGAATGTGGGCAGGGCATCCTGTGTGCTAAATAACAGAAGGGAGTAAGCTGAGCATCAGTGTGCACTCTGAGCTCTGACTAGCAATGTGGCAGGTGTCTCCTGCCTTCCCTGCTGACCGATCCTCCAACCTGAGCTAAAAAAAAAAATCTTCTTTCCTTAAGCTGCTCTGTCAGTTTATCTCAACAACAGGAAAGACGTGAGCCCACAAAAAACGCCTCTAAAGGGGCAGAGACCATGGGAAGAGAAAGGTAGCCTACTGTATCATTTTTAATTTTTATGCGATTTCCCCTTTTGTTTCTATGGTTTTATATAAATCCAAGAATGCTTTATAATATAACAGTTAACTCACACTCACGAAAATACATTTTCTAGCCAGGCACAGTGGCGCACACCTGTAGTCCCAGCTACTCAGGAGTCTGAGACAGGAGGATCACTTGAGTCCAGGAGTTCTGGCCTGCACTGTACTATGCCAATAGGGTGTCCACACTAAGTTAGGCATCAATATGGTGACCTTTTGGGATCCGAGGGACCACCAGGTTGCCTAAGAAGGGGTAAACCAGCCCAGACACAAAAGAAGCAAGTCAAAAATAGATTTTTCTAGAAAAAAAAAAAATATTCCCTTATCCATTCATGAAATAAGATAGACTTCCAGAAAAAAAAACTCACTTATTTTACATTTGAATTGACTCTGTAACTGCCAAGTTTTCAACTGAAAAACCTGCCTACTGGGATTTCCCATGCAAATTATGAAAACCATTAATGAAAAGTAACCCCAAATCAACACCCCTAACCTACACAGTACAGCACCACTACCTGAAGGTGCTCTGCAATGTTTTAGTACAAACCAAATAATCTCTCCCAAATAAATAGCAACACTCTAAACACTGAAAAGAAAAACAACTAAGGAACAAATGCTCCCTCAGGAGACTCAGACGATTGGCGACCTGTAGAAACCATTTAATTCCCTGACAATCCCAAAGAACCTTGAAGTATTTTGGAACAGGAGTGGGTGATTTCCCGTTGACACAAAAGTTGCATACTTTCTGATTAGCCTGAGATTTGGAATCCTCAGAAGAAAGTGCATTCTTTGCACGTTGCAGAGTGATGTCTTCAAAATCAGTGCATTTTGGCAAAACTGCAAATCTCTCCCGAAGAGGCTCTGTCTGGACTCTGTTCTGAGGGAGGGCAGAATCACAGCAGAATTCTTTCAGCTTTTCCAGAGACTTTAAAACAATCCTGGACCTCAGACATTTCTTTGGCTCTTGGGAAATAATGAAAAGAAAACATACTTATAGTATTTTGACTCCATTATGTCAATTCATAATCTGCATGGAATTTTTCAGAATGCTATTCCCACTGGAGAAATGAACCTAACTATAATGGGATAAAGAACACTGTTCAAGGTAAAGATGACACATTGAAACATATCTATATTTTCATTCACTGATGAAATAAATTGAAAACTACAGTAAAGGAGGCAGCAAGACAGCTCAGCAGGAACGGTGCTTGCCACCTAAGTCCAATCCCCAGAAACAACAAGGTAGAAGAGAACCAACTCCTTCAAGCAAGTTGTCCTCTGACCTCCACAAACATTTGCAACACACTCACACACACACACACACACACACACACACACACACACACACACACACACTTTTAAAAAAAAAAGTAAATAAATGACTCAATTTTAAATTTTAAATTATAAAAGCAGGACTATAGAAGAGCTTTGTTCATATTTCTTTGGGATGTAATGACAGACAGGACAGGAATGGTGACAGCTGCAACTGTCAGGCAGGGAACTGATATGCAGTCACTAACTCAGCACACAAGACTCACACCCAGTCCTTAGAAAAGCATGAACCAACTCTATTTGCAACACAAAATGCTTGAGACTTGGGAATTGGGGCACCTTGGAGTCTGGAAACAGAATGTTTTGGAATAAAAAGGATTGACTCAAAGTGAACTAATCTAGATTCTTCCCACCCTTCACATTCTGAGGGCCAATCTCCAAATCAGCACAGACTAGAAAATTCTCTGGAAAGGTGTAACAAGCAGTGCTGCTGATTATCGACTATCCCTGGAAAATGACAGGAGCCAAAGCTGCTGGATGCTGAGACCTTGGCCTCACCAAGACCGAAGTACCCAGAGCCTTCCTCTCCTGACATTAGCAAGGACACTCATGCCTGGGCAATCTTCCCAGCTCAGACACACTTCCTTTCTTGCCTTCCTAATTTTCGAATGCCACATCAAAAATGCATTCATTCTTCAAGCCCCACCCCAAAGCTACCTCTTCCATGAAACCCTGGGTTTCTTCCTCTGTGTTCCTGCAACAAGACCAGGACTCTCCCCAGCACCTATCACCATTATAAGTAGTGACTGGGACTACAGAGATGGTTCAGAGGTTAAGAGCACTGGCTGCTCTCTTCCAGAGTTCCTGAGTTCAATACCACATTGCGCCCACAACTATCTGTAATGAGATCCGGTGCCCTCTTCTGGCCTGCAGGGATACATGCAGATAGAACACTGTAGACATAATAAATAAATAAATCTTTAACAAAAAAGAAAAAAAAGCTGTGGCTGTATGCAGTTATTGTTATTTATAAACAAGCAATTGGTATGAGAAGGGGTCTGTCATTCACTGGGGCTCTGCAATGTGCTAGGACACATTATTTCATCCCTGAGAGCATTACTATTAGGAAGCTGCTGCTAAGTACAGGGGAACTGGTGTTTGCACCCGTTGTCATCTCTCGCTTTACTTTCCTTATTAAAGCAAAAGTGCAGAGGACAACAGTTTGGCTTTGCTCACCTGTGAAAGTTTAAAAGTTTTCAGACTTACATAAAAGCTTTTGGGGTGCACAGGCTATCATGCCCTACATGAATCTCAGAGCTGGGAAATTGCATATTTGAATCTTTTAAGTATATGAACAAAGGCCAAATAGTTTTTAACAATTTTTATAAGGTATAGTTTACACAGGTGTATGTGAGGTTTATCATCAACAACAACAACAAAACGGAACTTCTGGAAAGGACCTGTCTAAAACCTGAGGTTGAACTCATTTCCCTGAGACTCGCAGCAATGCAGACACCGTAGAAAAAAGGGAAATTTTGGTGGAAAACAGAGACACAGAACCTGTGCAAAATAAAGCACAGGACAAGCGAGAGGCGTGGGGACTGTCGGCAGCAAGCACTCTAACACTCTACGGAGGAGGAGCACCCCGAAAGTGTCTGAGAAATGACTGGGCAAATCCAGGAACAAGGACAAAAATTAATTCACTGACTCAGAGACCAGACTAAAGCGCTAAAAGAATGAGAAAATGAGTAAGAAAGAAATACATCTTGTAAGTGGGGGGGGGGGGGGGGGATGATGGAAAAACAAAAAAACCCAACAGTCTATAATTAAACCAATCACCTCCAACAATAAGTACTTGACTTGAATATACTAACACTGACTAAGATAACTGTCTTTTGGCCAGGCTGTGTCTGAACTCACTGTGCTGCTGAGGATAACCCTGAACTCCTGATCCTCCTATCTCTACCTCCCAAATGCTGGAACTACGGGTATGAGCCATCACACCCAGTTTACACAAACCCAGGTCTCCAGGGATGCTAGACAAACTCTACTAACAGACTAAGAAATTTGGAAGGAAAACTCTCACTCCTCCATATTTCTGATTTTTCCAGTAAGGTTCCTCTTATTCTAAAAATGTGCTTTGGGTATCTTTTCCAGTGTACATTTTACCTCAGTTTGCTCAAATGCACATAAACATTGTGAGTGCTAAGATTTCCCTTCTGTTTGGTAGCGCAGGTACGAAAAAAGGAATTTGTACATGGAAGAATCTAGGAACAAGGTAGATCTATACAATGGAATAAATACTGCCTGGATATAATGAAAGGAATGCGGAGTAGTCAAAATGATTGATGCAGAAGACAAGACGGTCATGCCCGGGGTTGGAGGTATGGGAAATGGAGACGTGCTGTCAACCAGTACAGAGTTTTAGAAGGGAAACAAAAAAGTCCTATGGAGATGGAAAACAAGAACATTTCATTCGGGGACTGTAAGATGGGCCCCTGGGCAAGGGTGCTTGCCAATAAGCCTTACAATGTGAGTTCAATGCCAGAACTCACACAATGGAAGGAGAGACATGACTTCTGGAAATTGTCCTCTGACCTCTTCTACCCAGGTACACACACAAACAACAAATAAATCAGTAACAAATGTTTCATCTTATAACCAAGATTTTAAAGACAGCAAAAGGGGCTGGAGAGATGGCTCAGTGGTTAAGCACACATGCTACTCTTTTACCAGAGAACACACACGCTTGCACACACACACACACACACACACACACACACACACACACACACTTTAAAAACATAACAAAAGTGAACAAAAGAGAAAGTTGAAAGAACTATACCAAATTAGAGAACTAAGATCCACTGCGGCCTTAGCTCTCCCCCCCCCCCCAAACATCAGCTCAGGCACAACAGAAATCCTTCTCCACACAGGAAAACAAGGCTCCAACAGCCTCCTCTGCCCTCTGAGGAAGCCCAGCAGCTGAGAAAACTCATTCCCTACCACTTACCAGGGTTGCCAGATATTCCTGAAGTATTTTCTTCTTCCTTCCCTAGAACTTTCTTCGCTTTCTTCTTAATGGGCCCATCATTCCCCAGTGATCTCTTCCTGCTGTCACCTTTTGTAAACTGGGTCAGGAAGGTTGGACATAGTGTGTTAATGCCATCCTAAGGTTTGAAGTCATTCAAACCTTGCTTCAGAGTGACAGTAAGCTCCCTGCCTTCCACTCTTCATAGAGGGATGTACTTTTACTCTGGAAAAGCTTTGGGGTGTCTATGAAAGATGGAAAGAGGCAGGTGTAGCCTCTCATCCTGCTGAAATTAAGTGCTGTCTTCCACCGTTCCTACTTACACATATTAAATAAAATACCTCTAAAGATAAACAAAAATATATTTTCAAGATGCAAAATTATGGGGCAAGATGAGATAATAAACAATGTCTTTTCTGTTTCAAAGGTTACATCCGCTATTTAAAAATGTCCTAGGACTATTGGTTGGCAGGTAATATAAGAAAAACTTAACACTTTCCCCCAATATGCTGTCAATGTAGGTGCAAAATAAAACCTTGGTGAACTCATGAGAATGTAGAACATTCTCAAGGGGGGTGAGGGGGCACTTCATCCACTCAAATGTTTGTTTTACACCTGGAAGCTGAACAGTAGAAGAATGTTCTGGCACAATGATCTGAAATACAGAGCAGTGCTTTTGAATTCTGAAAAACTAGCCTTAAAGACAGCTTTGTTCTCGTCAATCCAGCAAGCATATGTAAATAAAGTTCCTCTTCAACCATCAATATAACAGGGACAGCAGAGGTTAAAAGATATATCCGGGCCAGGTGGCCTTTAATCCCAGCCCTGGGGAGGGGGGGGAAACAGACAGGCGGATCTCAGTGAGTTCAAGGCCAGCAGGGTCTACCACAGAAAAACTCTGTCTCAAAAAAAAAAAAAAAGGACATATTATTCCGCCTCAGGTTCCGATTAACGAGGCAACAAGATCTCAAACCTATAACTTCTAATCGGGTATTTTCAACTAAAACGTGGACCCGCAGAAGTCACCCCCCTTCTCCTTCCCCTTCTCCTTCCCAGGCTCCGCCCCTTTACTCCCCACCATTAGGCTCTCCACACTGCCTCCACTTCCGGCCGCGACGCCCACGCGCCCGCTCAGTCCCGCCCTGGCCCCGCCCCCGGCCCCTGGCCCCGCCCACCTGGCCCCGCCCCCATGGGGGCAGACCCCACCCCCGGCAGCCTCCGCCGAGGCGGAGCGGTGAGCGCTGAGGACTCGTCCTGTACCTTCTCTGCCGGGTCCGCGGTGGACGCAGTGGATCGCAGGCTTCCGGAAGACTGGAAGAACCGGCTCAGAACCGCTTGTCTCCCCGGGGCTTGCGCGGCGGAAGAAAGGCCGCTAGACGCGGACTTGGTGCGGGGCATCGCGGGATGCACAAGAGCAAGCCCGCCGGGAGCGCGCGGCCGTACCACCCCGCGCCTGCGCGCGCCCACGCCGCGACCTGGGCGGGGCCGGCCTGGCGGAGGAGGAGCCCTACTCGCGGGGGCGGGGTCTCTGATGCACAAATAGGATGCGGGGCCTGCTGAGGGCGGGGCCTCCGATACACAAGTGGGAAGCGGCGCCCGGCGGCCTCAATTTCGCGCCAAACTTGAGGGGAAACCTAGCGTGCGTGCTGTCTGGGAGTTGATCGCCGCTGCTGTCATGGTTCGAACGCTGAACTGCATCGTCGCCGTGTCCCAGAATATGGGCATCGGCATGAACGGGGACCTGCCCTGGCCTCAGCTCAGGTACTGGCCGGACTGGGTTAGGGAAACCCAGGCGGTTCGCTGACTCGGGTCGAGCACTTGGCGGAGACGCGTGGGCCGACCACCTTAGGGACAGTCGTGAGCGGCTAGGCCCGCCGGCTGCAGCCTGGGCCCGCGGTGGTCCCCCTGCTGTGCCAGCCTTTGCCCAGAGGCGCTGTAGCCGGGACCAAAGTCCGGTCACTGGGCAGCACCACCCCCCGGATTGAGCACACGTGACAGGGTTCCTGTTAACGCAGTATTTCTCTAACTTTCAGGAAAGAATTCAAGTACTTCCAAAGGATGACCACAACCTCCTCAGTGGAAGGTAATTTGGGGTTAAGATGAGGATTCTAGAGTTTGTATGAAGCAAGATTTCCAATGCAGTCATGTAAGTCTCCCATGGGTATCTGGGAACTTAGCTTCTTGGCAGAAATTTTTGTGCGGTTCCCAGAGTTTATTAAGCATCCTCTTTAATATAGATATATTTGAAATTTTGTTAGCAAGAGCAGTTAACTGGACAGAATCAGCAGCACAATTTAGCGAGAACCGGTATTTAGAATTGTCACTGGAAGATGTAAAACCTGAGTAAATAGAAAAGAATGCAGGGAAAATAGACTAAAACACAACTAAACACTAATGTGATGCTCTGTTGGATTTCTGGAGGCAGGAAGCCACGGTGGGATGATGGTACAATCTTCAGTGGGGCAAGTCTGGGGGTCTGACCTGAAATAAAAGAATGGGGAGTGGTGTGCAATTATAAGGCCGCTTCCAGTTGCTTGTAGAACACTCGTAATTCTCTAAACATGTTTGTTTGCCATAGTACAAGAGGAATGGCGCTGTGGATTTCGACCTCTTTTGGGGTTGAATGACCCTTTCACAGGGGTGGATGAAGACCATTGGAAAACAGTTATTTATATATGATTCATAATAGTAGCAAAATTACATTTATGAAGTAACAAAAAAATAATTTTATGGTTGGGGGTCACCACAACACGAGGAACTGTATCAAAGAGTCACAGCATTAGGAAGGTTGAGAACCGCTGGCAGAGAGAATGGGGGTACAAGACGGCAGAGCAGACGTTGAACAGCATTCATAGGACAGGCAGAAAGCATAGTAGGTCACTGGTAGATAAGTTGGCAAATGCCATTAACACGGTCTACTTGCAATCTAAATTTCAGGATTAGGGAAATGGCCCAGTCAGTAACATTTTGAGGACCTGAGTTCAAATCCCAACACCCCAATAAGAATGTGGGCTTGGTGGGACACATTTGTAATAACAGCACTGGGGAGGCAGAAACAGAAAGGTCCCCTGGGGCTTGTTCTCTAGCCAAATTTGTGGGTTCCAGGTTCAATGAGAAATCGTGTCTCTAGAAATTAAAGTGAAGACACCCATCTTCACTGCCTGGCCTGTGCTCACGGATGCACAGTACATGCAAAATAGAAAATGATTTTTTTCAACATTATTTACTTTTCCTTCTGATGTCTTTGGAGAATACCTATGTACAAAATATATGTGCCTGGTCCCCACAGAGGCAGAAGAAGGTGTCAGTTCCTGGAACTGACTCTAGATGTGGGAGCTGAAAAGCAAACCCAGGTCCTCTACTATGCTTTATCAGCTAAACCATCTCTCTAGCCCCCAAAGTCATTTTTCTTTAAAGAATCCTAAATATGACCTGCTAATTGTTACTGTTCCTTTTATCCATTCAGGGTTTTTTCCCAAGCAATTAAATAAGATGGAATTTGCATGTCTAAAGTTTCAATAACAGTACTTTTTAAAAGTGTTTTTTATTCTTTGAAAGTCTTTATACATGCATACAGTATATAGATATCCATTTACCTTCTCACTCCTGCTTGGGCCCCCTTCTCCCTCACTAATTCATATTAGAATATTGTTATTAATAACTGCCTCTCTCTCAGCCGTCCCCAACAACCAATAGCTGTCTAATAGGGTGGGACCTCAGTAGCCCCTCCTCCATGGTAGGATTTTTGACTGGCTTAATCTTGTGTAAGTAAGCAAAGGGGCTATGAGTGGGTGCATACAGACATCAGCCATGTGACATCCAGAAGTTAGTCTTTCACATCTCTCTCTCTCTCTCTTCCAACAACTCTTATGTTCTTTCTGCCCCTCCTCCTCAGTGCTCCTGACCTTAGAATAGTGGGAGCTGGTAGAGATGACCCAGAGAATAGTAGTTTTAGATGGTAAATACAAGTTCTGAGTTTAATCTTCTCAGATTTCCAGCAGTAGGAACTTCTTTTCTCCATTTTAGAATATGGGGTTATCCAGTAGATGACAAAATCCCATTAGCCTGAGCACTTTGAACCATAATCATGTGTGGTTGCTAACTAAGTAGAAGATATACATTCGATAAACCAAAAGAGAAAATGGTACTATATTAAGTTAATGAGTACTAAATCTGAAATTTGGGTGAAGCTGTTTACAGTCTTAATTTTTCTAAAGGATATCCACTAGATGTCACTATGACAATGGTATCTTGCCTATGTATGACACTAAAAAATATGTGTATTTTCAAAGATGTCCTTTCTGCTTGATTTTGTAGGTAAGCAGAACCTGGTGATTATGGGCCGGAAAACCTGGTTCTCCATTCCTGAGAAGAATCGACCTTTAAAGGACAGAATTAATATAGTTCTCAGTAGAGAGCTCAAGTAAGTGATGTGAGGTCACCTTAGGAGAACTGATCTATATCCCAGAGCACATACCAGTACAGATAAAATGAAACAGTTTGAAGTAGGTTGATGAACATCTGCGTGTGTGCATGCATAGCCGCATACATATGTGCACAACTGTGTGGGCAAGGGCATGTGTAAGCAGCCATACATACAAAGCTGAATACTGTCCTTCCTAAGAATCTGTTAGTTTCTTGAGACAGGGTTGCTCACTGTGCTACGGGACTCACGTATTAAGCTAGGCTAGCTGGTCAGCGAGATCCGAGACTCTTCCTGTCTCTGCTGATCCACTGATAGGATTACAAGTGCACGCCACCAGCCCAGCTCCCTTTTACCAAGGGTTGGGGGGGGATCAAACTCAGGCCCTCATTCCTGCACAGCGGATTCTTGACTGTGTTATTACCTAACCCTAATAAATGGCTCACTGTCCAAACAAGTTGTCACCATCAGAATTCAGCCCATCACCCTGAAGAGACTAGAGCCTTAATCTACCAACTTAGACCACTCAGCCACGAGTTTGATTCCCAGTACCCACATGGCAGTTCACAACTTGCTGTAACTCCAATCCAAGGGGATTTGATGCCTTCTGACCTCCAAGGGCACCAGGCTTGCACATGGTGCACAGACATGTAGGCAAATAGTTAAACACATAATAGTAATGAAATTAATTCAGGAAAGGAAGGAAAAACGGACTGGAGGTAGTAGGGTAGGGGGATATGATTGACTATGTAGTCAAGTCCAGTAGTTTGACCTTGACAATGACTTTGCTCTTGCTGTTGTTGCTGGTCTTAACATACTAAAATTGCTTCCTGAATCTTACAGGGGTTTGTTTTAGTTTGGATTGGGGTCAGCAGGTGACTAAAATCTATGGGAATGTTAGGATTCAAGGTGTGGGCTATTTTTCCTTAAAAGTGATGTGTAGTCACCAAAACCAACAAGAATGTCACTCCCATGCACTCGGGATCCAACCAAAGAAGCACATGCAATAAGTAAGAGCTTTGATGTGGGGAATTGGCTTTCACAGTTATGGGGTGTACTTACGTGAATCCAGAATTCAGAGAGCAGACTGTTCACATTGGGCACCAAACTGTAATTGGTCTAAATAATAAAAACCCGGAGTCAGATATAGAGGAAAATGTTGAGAGATCAGAGAGAAGAAGGAGCAAGCCAAAGCCACCTTTACCTCATTAGCTTCTCAGCAGAAAAGAGACCAAGTTCCTCTTTCTTTGCTCTTACATCCTTTCTACATCCAGCCATCTCACTTCCTGTCTGTCTGTACCGATTTCCTGACCTTTATGGTTAGCTAGTGGCAAGCTCCATCCTCTGATCTACAGACAGGCTTTATTTGTACAAACAAGATATCACCACAACGAAAAACAAGCTAGGATTTCCCAAGAGGTGGGTGCTCTGGTTACTTCTGAGAAGTCTCAGCTCTACTATTTGTGTTCTGAAACAAGATTTCTCTGTGTAGCCCTGTATATCCTAGAATTCACCAGGCTGGCCTCAAATCAGAGATTCCCCCCTGCGGCAGGAAAAACTACTTGTAACACCTGCCTCTGCCTCCTGAGTGCTGGAATTAAAGCATACACCAATGCCAACTCATAGATGTCATCACATCTACAAGACACAAGTATCTGAAGGGAAGTTAGCACAGCCCTAAGAGGGTAAACACTCTCCATAGCTACATGCTAAAAGATTTTTTGTGTAGGGTTTCTCCCACACCCCTCTTATAATGGCATAGGCTAAGAACTAAAAGAAAAAACACAAACATTTGCATCGGTTGCCTGTAGTGATGGGGAATATGAGATGTGCCTCTTGCCATCTGCCTCCATCTTTGTGCTGCTCCTTGTCTTGGTTGCTAGGAAATTCTGATGATCACTCTCCTTGAAAAATTACACATTTGCAGGCTATATTGCCATTCCCAGAGACTTTTTAATAACATATTCTTGAACACTACTCAAGTTTACTTATGACCAGCTTGAGCTAAAATAAACATAAAGAATTCTCAGTGGGGGACATGTTCAATTGAGCTAGCATTTCTTCTCAAATGATGAGTCTAATTTCTTCTTTATGACCCCCCTATGGTG